CCGGTGGGAACCACCACGCCTCGCGTCTTCGCTTCTCTTCACATCGCATCAAGCAAATCTCCTGTGGATCCGCGGGCAAAGCACCGGGAGAGCTTCATTCTTCTACATGGTCATGAAGGATATTCTGGACCTATCATATTAGTATATGTTTGCTGTATCTGTACATCAATCAATATAATATATTGAATTTGACGTAATTGTTAGAGCCATGAAGGATCGGATCGAACACCCAAAAATGGTTCCGATCGAACCTTGATCATTACAAGACTGATTTCCTCCAAGAAGAGGGCAGACTGTCCGTGTCAGTCCATTTCCATGTTTGCATCTGAAATTGCACAAAGGAGAGGGCTGAATCCCCTTTCTCACTGAAGAGGAAGGTTATCTCGTTGTGTCCACGTGCTCTCTTCCTGTGAAACATGAAGTAACCTTTGCCTTGGAACTGCGAACATGAGCTTGTCAGCGTTTGACCAACGGCAAACCCATCTACAGCAAGCGTTTGCTAGGTAGAACACCCATGAACACCCAACACTGGAATTTCACCCGCTCATCCTTGCTAGCAAAAACACACTGACAATTCGCATTGTGATCTTTCGGCTTTGCTTTGCTCATGTAGATCTGACAGTCTGTCAGTCTGAGCAAACCTGGTACTCACTGCCCAGGTACTCACTGGTTCCCCAGTGACATCACAGTGCAAGAATAACACACATCACATTGCCCTCCCCCCAACCCAGAAACCAAAAAACACCATACCTGCCCTTCTGGACCTTTCACACATCCACAGGATGGACATGTCTGCCACGCTTCGGTCGCCCCTGCCTTGGCCACGTACTCGACCCTTGGATCCTTCTTCGGTCGAACCACAAACCTGGCAACAACGGTTTTTTTGGTCACCGGGCTGCCCGATGGAGAAGCATGTGTAACACCGGAAAATACATACTGAAGGCATATGAAACGAAGCCTGGCAGCATTTTGACACAGTCCCCAAGCTTGCTCAGCCCATTCACAGGGTGGTCCGTCGGTAGTACCTTCAACTCTGATAGGTTCTGGGTGAAAAAAGGTCTCCAAGAGGCTGATGTCACACATTTCAAGGTGATCGCGTTCATTATCCCAGGTGACGCGGGGAACACTAAAGCAAGCAAAAGCTCCCATTACAAAGAGCAACTTGGTCTATCCAGGAATGTTGATGTTCGCCTAACTTATCAAGACTCTTCGCCCTCCAAATCCAACCTCTCGTCCCCCTCCAGATTCTTCTGTACACCGACCGATCCACATCCTCGACACGGGGAACCCCTTCTGCGCACGCTACGCCAGAAGCCCCTCGGCCCAGGATGCTGCCCTTCTCATAGGTGGCCTCGTGAAGGGTTTGGAGCATGGACTCGTGATCGGCCGGGGCAGGTGGTGGTACAACTGGTGGTACAGGCGCTGGTAGAGGTAAGGTGGTGGTAGATGTAAGGTGGTACTGGTCACAAACCGCTTTGTCCGGCATGCCCAGTTGAAGAAGGGGATGCCAGTTGAGGTTTTGGAACTCTGTCCTTGAAATGCAGGGGCTCTTCAAACCGAATATCTGCCACGCCCTTTCAATAATTTAGCACTTCTCCACAGCTATGGCACGCTCTTGAAGACTGCAACACTAGTCACTAGTCAGTTACACTATTGAAGAATCCGATCTTTGACCTAGCCAAAGCAGCCGTTCTTTGACTCTTTTGCCTGCCCAGCCACTGAGTCCGCTGACGCGCCTTCTTTTCACATCATGTGGCTGGTGCAACACAACTGGCGTTGTTTCGTGTCTAGATCTCCGCTCTCTTCCCGCCACGTGGAAAACATCTTGGTCGAAACAAACCACAGAAATAACACCGCCTATTAACTAACTGCAACCACTGCTGACCAACCTCACAGCATATGACTTGCGTCAAAACGGACCTTCTTCCTTCACTTCCAAATAAAACATGGCCTCGAACGAAGCGGGCGGAGATGCAGCATGTCCTCCAAGCGAAAAGGATCAGCGATGGTGGGTAAGGCTGAAACGGGTGGTCCACCAACGAAAAGATCAAAACATATCTAAACAAGTCTACAAAAACAGGGATTTCTGGGTTCACTGAGAAGTATGGGTTAACATGGGTTGAGTGAGACAAATTCCTTTCAGACAAAGCCTCAAAACTCATAAAAGTTCTGGGTTTGGTTGAGTATATTTAATGTGGACTTGAGAATACATCATCATCAAGCCAAGCACCAACTTCCACAAACTGAGACAAAACACAACACTCATTGACGCACCCGTTTAAGCAAAGCAATATGCTGCATGCTGTCACATATGTCACATATCCAACATCATTCGATCACGAGGCCCACCAAAACCTTGGTATCACACCTTGTTATTATATGATCCCTACCATATTCAGGGGGGGACCTCTGGAAAATGTAAGTTACATTTCTGGAGGTCCCCCTCCATTTTCGATGGTTAACGGGGTAGGGATATTATATGAATCATGGAGTTGTCTGGCGCAAGGCTGCCATCTGAAGCAACGTTTCTGCCACCGTTTTCTCTGACTTCACGCCGGTCCTGGCAAGGGTGCCAAGGGTGGGGAACTCTGGCCGTAGCTTCGGCCCCCAGGGCGGCAAGTGCTGCCGAATGCCTCGATTCGATGCGGCGGAAAGCGGGTTCACGGCGGGGGCAGAAGCATCGGTGCGGAAACGGCTCCCAATTGGACCGACCCGGACATGGTTCTTAGGAAAAGACCAGCGGTTACCAGGACCCGACTCGTTCGTTCGGGGTGTCTGTTTCTTTTTGGCCCAACTATAGCAGTTAAGTTAGGGGTGTCCATGTCTACCACCCCGAAAGAAGGCCCTGGAACAGAAGTGCATTAATTGTTGTTATACGCGTGACAGGTTCTGAAGCCAAAAGAGCCACTTGACACTCCAAAGGGATAAAGGAACACACGCCTGAGTGTACACCCGAAAGACCAGTGAAGGATGGCATCCAATCCGAAAGTAATCAACCATGGTATGGAGATAGACCCCCACACCAAGGTTGGATACGTCTATTTCACCCCTTCATAGAACTCCAACTCTTTTCAAAAGGCACCCGTCTACGCCCCGTGTACGCCCCAACATCGACATCTCTTCCCAAACATCTGCAGTTGAGCTCGAGTTCCGTCGGGTGGCAACTGCAGTGGAGGCGGCTGCAACTGCAACAGGGAGATGTGGTGGCAGCACCGTCGCCTGGTGGAAACAGGAAGTACCATGCAAGTACGCAAGTACGGCAGTTGAACTGGACTGGGAATCAGGATGAATCAGGTGTGAGAAGGAAACCTTAGGGCTACCTATGGCTACCCGATCCATCAGGGTTGTTTCATTCCTGGTTGAGAATGAACATCCATTTTTAATAATTTTAAGAGGATTTCCTCTTCCGAACCAACTCCTTCCCTGCCAAGACCCTCGGGTCTCAACTCCACACTACCCAACCGGCCGTCTTCTGCAGCTGGCGCCAGCCTGGCGGTCGACTGAGGTCGGTTTTCCATCAGTTTTTCCATGAGAAAACAAGAGTGAACCGAGACCTGGCCATCCTTGTAATGTAGGCTGATGTATTTCAAAAACAAGATGGAACCCACGAACCCGAATGCAAACACCCACTCGAAAACAAACACTCAAACCATTTTTGACGTTCCTGCCCCCTACGCATGAAGGGAAAAGGGGACACTTTCATTTTGCTGGTCTCATTTTCTCTGGTCTTCTCTTTATTGGATCAGTCTGAGTATGTCGACTCGTCTTGTTGCTTGAACGACCGGAGAGACATGCTTCATGGATGGCAGGAGCTTGGATACCGGTCGCTCCCCCACGGTCGCTCCCCGTTTCCCGGCGAGCTCCGCTCCGGCCTTCTCACTCCGATGGCCACGCCGCGTCCCCCGGGCCCAACGAGCTGGGAGCCGAAGAGAAGCGAATGCAGCGACAGACATGGGTGGCTTGAAAGGTCGCTGCATGGGCGGCTTGGTTTTACCGGTGGATCTTCGGAATCCAAACCGACCGGTGGATGCACCGCCCGGAGGGCGGAGGCAATCATAGGAGCCTTTTTGGGGGGGTTTGGTGCTCTTCTGAGTCACCCGCTCTTGGAGATGCCCATGCTTGAGCAAAAAATCAACCTTGTACGGACTACGATGAAATGACAAAGAAAATAACAACCCACGGGTCATAACGATATCTAACGATCATTGTCGTGGCATCCGTGGCGCGAGCATGGTCGTGTCTTCCGGAATTCCTTCCGGTCTCTCGGGTGCTCTTCATCCCAAGTCCATGCGTGTTCATGAATCCAATCCCATGGAATGACTGAGTGCTTTGAGCCTCTGCCGCAAGCTTACAATCATGATCAGTGTGCCTACCAAGCACATGTAGTACTGAAGATATCGTTGGCTGGTTTTAAGCTTGAAAGATCATAAGAACCATGCAAATGTGGATCAAACTAGCGAACCCGGTCTTGTACAGTTCAGTAACATACGTTAGCTGGCAAATTGGTGCAACCCATGGCACTGTAAGGGATGGGTTTGCAACTCAACCTGGCCTTACTGGCCACAAGTAGCAATGCCCTTCGTCTGCACTTCCCTGGCCTCGACTTGCAGCTTTTCACTTCAAAACACTCTGAGACAAACTCGCATACTGCGAGGTCCATCGAGCATAAGAACCTGAAGCTGGCAGTGAGATAAGAGCGATGCATTGCAGAAGACATGTGCTACTGACTCATAGGATCCCTTTCCAAACCACCAACTAGTCACAAGTCAAAACGTGTGAGAACTCACCTGGAACCCTCGCTGCCAAGCTTCTGCGCAATTAGACAAGCTCATGCTCAACTTTTTGGCTTTGCCAAAAAATTGCTATGTTTGAAATCTGCTTCTGCAGCGGCGTGGCCCCTGGCCCACCCGGTACCCGGGATAAAATCAACAGACGTGGGATCACCACTTGCAGCAAACACCAACATGACACTCTGCAAAGAACACATTTCAATGTCAAGGTCAAGACATTCTGCAACGCCAACTTTCAATTGCTATGGTCCATGGTTGGACATTACGTCGATGGGTGATTCGACATCTGGGATTGCGAGCACGGTGCCAAGCATGTGTTTTAAATTCGACGATCTTTGACGGCTGGCCACGCAGTTGCAAATCACGGCGTCGGCAGTGCAGGTGGTGCGGGCGGGCGCCCTTCAGTGGGAGGTTGTGCAGGCACACTATAGAGATCACGTCACCAAGGTCGGTGTTCTTGACTTGGATTGCGACATGACCAAGTCAAGAATGGATCGGGCAAGATGGACTCCACAATTTTATGCAAAAGTCTCGGAAATGGGATATTTTAGAAACCATTAGATCTATTGCCATGAAGTATTGTGCTATGTTGCGCTTAAACTTAGAGCACAACAGTTAGCACTTTCGAGTATTGACAAGCAAACTCTTATATAAATGTAATGCAACCTATATAGCCATCCTAAGCGGCACTGCAAACAAGCGCGCACGGGCCGCAGCCTCAACCAACCAACATTGTGGCGCGGCCTCAACCAACACGGAGGCGCGTCCCAGTGGGCCGCAGCCTCAACCAACAGGTTGGCGCGGCCCAGTGGGCCGCAAACACATTGGCGCGGCCCAGTGGGCCGCAGCCTGAACCAACACGTTGGTGCGGCCCAGTGGGCTGCAGCCTCAACCAACATGTTGGCGCGGCCCAGTGGGCCGCAGCCTCAACCAACACGGTACCAGCACGTTGGCGCGGCCCAGCCTGAACCAACACGGTGGTGCGTCCTAAAGGGTTGCTTCCTCAAACCAACGTCATCGCATCCAACTCCCCCAAAAAGTGCCGTGCCACCAATGAGTGCGCTGATTCCACCCCTTCGCGGGCGATTTCCGGGTTGGTGCCCGCCCCCCACACCCCGCACCCCGCGCCCCACGCAGCCTCGCTTAGCCCTGCATCGCTCCGCCAGGAGTCGGTCCTGCATCGTCCGCCGCCTCCTTGAGCCGCACGAAGGTCCCCAGCTCGGCGGCCGTGGGCGGCAGGGCGATCTCGCGGAGGCCCCTTCGCTCGGACAGCCTGGTTTCGAAAGGAGCCGGTGCGCCCACATGGAGCTGGTGGGCCAACCAGGGCAAGCTTGGCAGGTATGACTCGGTATGACCTCCTATCCACAGGTTTCCCTAAGCTTTTCTGAGGGGATAGGGGACATCCTAAGCCCTAAGCCAACTGGTGGAAGGTTTGGTTCACCCTCCACTGAAGCATGTTACTCGGATTTCCCACTCCTTTCCTTTTTTCGGAGGTGCCAGTGAAAAAAAGGTTACAGTCAACTCCTACTAGTAATGTTGAAGAATGGACTGCAAAGGGTTGCTGTTCTCCTTCTGGGATTGTCTCCAGCCCGTTCAGGTCACTTTTTGACCATGACTCTATGCAAAGGGCCCGGCTGGACGGACTCTTGGATGTGTAGAGAGCTCTACTGTGCTCCCCCCGTGCTCTCGCTTCAGGCACCTACTCTGGAATGTCAATAGCTTGCAGTGGGATATAACTTCTAACCACATGGACTGGAAACAACAGGTCATCCGCTTAAGTCGCTTAAGGTTCCCCAAGACAGTTAAAAAGGTGTTCGCATGTTTCGGCCAACGGAGTATTGCAACACACCTGGTGGGTTTAAGAACTTCAATGAAGTTCACTAACAAAGTACCATCCAGTCCAGGAACAAAAACTCAATGCTTGGATTGTGTAACTCATTGACCAAAAGAGAACTAAGATTGTAGCTCCCACAATTTAGACACATATTCAGACCCCGAATCTTCTCTACACTCTTTACCAATATTATCCAATAAATACTCCCAGAAGCTACTCCTTTGGCCATTCAAGACCCAGCAAAAATTCCTCGCAAAAAAAGAGGTGCCAACGAACGTCACTATCACTTGATGAACAGCTATGCTTCGTGGAGGTTCGTTCTTCGCGACCTCTCCGCGATCTCTCTCCGCTTCGGTTCGAGAAAAGATCTCGGTCCGTGATCCGACTCAATCACCAACTTCCAACACCCCCGTCCGGGTCTCCGTCCGTCGCGCGAGAACGGGCCAAGCCGCTTGATGCTCTTGCTCCCGTCCGGGAGGTGGACCCGAAAGAGGAGCTGGGCCGGCGCTGGCGAGGTTCGTTCCGGCGTGGGATTCGCAGTGCGTGGTGCGGCCCCCCCTGGAGGGGGCTGCTGTGCCGACTCCAGACCCTCCCAAAGAACCAAGAGGCATCGACAAAAGGGCACGACCCGGTGCTGGCGACAGCAAAGTCACTGTACCTTTCATATCCTTTCATGAGGAAGAGGGTTTCATACTCTCTCTCGCCGTCCACCCACCCAGAATCGGGTCAAATTGTCAAGTTTTTTGAGGGAACAAGGGAACAAGCATGACTCTGGTGGCCCCTCAAAAAACTTGAGTCACATTTTCTGGTGGACTGTATTGACGGCCTTATGCCAGCCTATGTGCTGCCCTCCAAGGAGTGTTTTTTGAGGCTTAATTAGGTCATATCAACCTTGCTTGATGGCTTCCGGATCATATCAACCTTGCTTGATGGCTTCCGGATGTTGAACGCGACAGGTCAAGAATCTTAAACCCTGCCACCTAGACTGCCCTTAGACCCTTAGCCCTCTCATGCCCTACTCCAACGACCTCTTCCGAGACCAAATTACCTACATTTTGGCACACACCCTCAGGCATACGGCTACAATGCTACAAGCAGCGTAGCCGTACGACTGACCCTAATTACTTCGCGGCCCAGCCAAGGTGCCAAAAGCTGGGCCCCATGCTCCCTGACAAACGTGTACGGTATATGTTGCATGCCTCAACATGACTTACTCAAAGGTTGTTCAGTGTTGTAGTTGTTGACCTATGTTTCCTTGTTCTATTGATTCGAGTGGTGTTTCGAGACCGTAAAACAATCATTTGGTCTCCAACCCACGGTACAAGTTCCCAAACAAGATGTTCCATTAGCATCCCACTGAACATTTCCTTACCAAAGGCACCAAAGTATGCCCAAAGGTGCCTTTGGCGAAGACATGTTCAGTGGCATGCTAATGAACACCTTGTTTGGGAACTTTGGGAACTTGTACCGTGGGTTGGAGACCAAATGATTGTTTTTTTTTTTAAATATACACATGATCATCAACAACATGTTTCTTCCAACACCAGCTTTCTTCCTCTCTTCGGAGTTCCGCGTTCTGACTTTCGTTGTTTCCTCGACACTGGTCCAACCCCCTTTTTCTTCAGTCAGGACCCAGGAGCACTCGAATAGGATCCTGCCCCGTCATGGACCACCTCTCCACATTGCTCCTTCTTTCTCCACTTCACCTCACCGGTGCGAGGTACGGCTCGGGGGACTGCTGACGACCTCGCTCCAAAACGCGGAGGATCGCGCCGTCACCAGGCCCCAGCCAGGTCCCTGGCTTCAACAGGAGAAGATCCTCGCTCCGAGGAGAGGGGTTTGGTTTTCAGGATATCATACAGTACTATATAAGTACTATGTTTTTTTTTCACTTTTTCTCGAGGAAAAGGCAAATGTTCTCTTGGAGCTTTGGATGTCAAACCCCGATGGACCCCAAGAGCTGCACATCTTTAGCTCAAGAAGCTCTTCGACACCATTCAGGCCCAAAAGCATCCAGATCGGTCTCCAACTCCAGTGGCCCATCGATGTGGGAGTTGATAGAAACGTGCACGGGAACCTTCTCAGCACGTTGCTCCGAATACGTTTGGAAGCTCCGTTTGAGCGCCAAGTTCGTGTTCACACTCATGAAATGGCCTGGGGTTTTCAACCTGCAAAACACTGCAAGCGATTTTTTCAGTAATTATATGCCTGCAAGATCTGGCTATAGGTCATGGCGCCGGGTCAAGATGACCAGTTCTTTTTCCCGACCGAAAGAACCGCTCCCTAGGACCGCTCGGACGGGAGGCTTCACGTGCTGCCCCCGTGGCAAGGTGACTCGATCGGGCCCCGACGATCGAGTCGGCCCAAGTGGCCACCGTCCCCTGCTTCGGCACACCCTTGGGCTCCTGAATGAATTCCGCGCGGGCAGTGCGGGCGGAGACCGACCGGGTGATGACGGAGTCGATTTCATCCGAGTCACTGTAACAGTGGAAGAAGTATCAACAAAGGCCTCTATCAAACCATATCAAACCTGACTGATGCCATCCGCATCATGTCAAAGGTGGTCCTTGAGGTGTTTTTTTTCTTTCGACATGGAGCCGTTGCATCATTAACCCCATCCCGGCGGGGTTCAGGCACCGATTGGAAGCGACACAACATCTATACCCTGGGAGTCAAAGACTATAAAAAGAATGGTCTGTAGGTGACACGAAGAGTCATGTCCTTTACCTCAGTCAGTCAAAATACAATCTTTGGACTTCTAGGGTATATACATCTATAAGAAATGTAATCGACAAGTTTAGCTCTGTCTAGCAGCGCAGAAGGTCTGAAGGGGAACAAAGGCGATCTACTTAACTGACAGATCGTCGAACAGTGTGGAAGATGTGGAATCACATTGAGATCGTTTTGTCAAGAAGCAATCCAGGGAAGCAAACGACCCAGGGAGGATTTGAACCTCCAACTTCATGCTTGTCAAGCAGTGTGCAGCCCCCGCAAGGGCAGACAGCTTGCAAAGACGACGCCTTACCCATTAGGCAACTGGGTCACTTATTCTCCAGCCCGGAATTATCGTGGAGCCTGGCTGGATGCTGTCCAACGACGTTTTTTGATCGTTTTCCGCCGCGCGCGCCTCGAGCGCGAAACATCCGCGCCCGCGCCCGCCACCCGCCTCCATGATCGTGACGTAGGGCAACAGCTGCAGCTTGAAAAAGGCAGGGCCCGTGACACGCACACGGCGATCTGTGGGCCAGGTTCCGGCAGTGGGGCTTGGGTATGTTGGGACTGAGATGGTGCTTGATTCGATGGAGGGATGCTTCAAGCACCCATTTATGATCCAAGAATGTTCCAGAGTTGCTTGGGAAACAACTCTCCATCTATATCTCTATATGGACACCTGCCTGCCACCACGCATTCCTGCTCCGACTTCCCACCCCTTCCCAACCCTTTCCCCCCCCGAAGTTTCCGGCTCTGGTCGGATGGCCTTGCCCTTCGAAGTCCACCGTGGCACAGTCCTCCTCTTCGATGCGCCGCACCAGGCCCACGCACCCGGGCGGCACGGTCTGGGAGGTCGCCGGACGTTGGAACCGAACGGGCCGAGCGATGGCCGATGGGGTGGCAGCCCACCGGGGCAGGTCGGTTGCCAAGCGAAGAGACACGGGGTGGGCGACGTTGAGTAGTCTCCTTCCACTTAATGGTGCCTAGTAGGTGCCCCCCAGTGCACGTTCCTATAGTGATTAGGGGCAGTGTGCACTGGCTGAGGTCCACAGTAACTTTCTTATATGCTTGCTGAGTGAAGTTTGGCCGAAAACCCTGAAATCCGAAACGAAGTTTGCCTTCTTTCTCCCTTCACCATTTGTTTGCCTTCCTTGGATGAGTCTGTCTCAAGAAGGGCGGACTTGTTTTTCATCTGGCGACCAGCTTGAGATGAAGAGGCGACAGGTTCTGGACAGTAAACCTTGGACAGATCTGTTAGACGTGGTGTGTCCCCACTTGCAAGCATCCCAAGGCGAGAAGCATCGACCAATTTTTAGGGGGGCCGACAGCTTTCTGAGTGGTATAATGTGGTATAATGACATGTCTCCATCAAACAGGATCTTATTCATCAGCACTGTTTGGGAAAGGTTCCCACACATGACCATGAATGAAAGTACCACGTGAATGTCCAAACACTTAACATCCAGGCCGGTTCCGAGTCCAGCACAAACCTCCAAGATTTTTAATCAATGGACATCAACAAGCCATGTAAACCACGTCATGCGTTTCATACGATATTGATGTATTCTGCATTCTGAATCTGTTTCTTAATTCTGGCTCTCTTTTGAATCGAAGGTGCTGCTCTGCTCTGCACGAAGGCCTCTCGAGTCCTGTGCATTGGATGAGGGACATGGCCGACAACCTGCCTGCTACCCGGCCCAACGTACGAGCACGATGAACACACAACGAAACCTGTGAACAGAATTCGACAGACTTCATTGAATTGTTCCCCACACAGGAGAAGTGAGAAACATCATCGTTCATGCTCAGCTAGTCAGCTAGTTACTCCGCCAAACTACTCTTTCACCTGGAAGCTGATTGTGGACCACTCGACTCAGAGCTGTTCAAGCAAATCTGCTGACGATTGGGCTTTCAACTGCCAACTCCGATGAACTGTGACCACCTCCACCTCACACACTGGTCAAATGATGATTTCGTCGAGCCCGCGTCCGTGTCCCTCCCGTGTCACGGACGTGGCACGTCCGCGCGTGGCCGTTTTGCGCGAGTCCGGCACGCGTTTTGCGCGTCCTCACGAGCTGTCCACATTTCAAGGAGGGTCCATTCCACAGGGTCAGTGCTGGCACCAGCCGTGTTTCATCCAAGCGCAGAAGCAGTGGCCTGGATGGTCAGCAGAATTCAGGACGGACCCCCCGTGGCGCGCACGAGAGTGTCGATGATGGGTGACTTGGTCAGTCGGAGTGGAGGAGGAAGTGGTGCCACAAGATGAAGTTGGGAGCAGCCCATGGTTCTTGATGTCTTGCTGAACAAATATATCTCTGACTTCATACTGATCCCTGTTGTTTGCTGAAAGAGGTGATACGGTGTTACGATGGTGGGAGTGGCTTTGCACATCTTTGCTGAGACGCTCTGGATGACTACACAAAAGTGGTTCCAGTTTGTTGAGAATTAAGTGTTCCAGGATGTTCCAGGGCTCATTTTCCACCTCCATGTTTGGTTTTCGGGAGGGTATACCAATTGACAGGTTTTCCTCTGCGTTCCTTTGGGGACAAAGGGGATCATAGGGGGGCCCATTGAGAGTGATGACATAGGGGGCCTTCTGCGGCAGCAAGGATTTGAGGATTGGGAAGCAAACCAGACTCCCAACAAAGGTCTCTGGAAGGTGCATATCATGGAGGAAGGGATTGAACATGTCGGGATAAAACCAGAATGCGGCACACTCGTCACCGTCGAGGGAAGCACCCAGTGTCTTTGACATGTCTTTTCTATCTTTTCGAAAGTAATTGTGGGAGGTTTCATGGTTTTGGAATGTTTTGGGGGATGAGCCACTTTTGGTCTTGAATTTTGTTAATCTCACAATAAGAGGATCCATGGGGTCGACACTGGTCTCTGCGGATGATACATGATGATACCAAAGGCATCCAAGCGACAGGAATGACCCGTCCATGAGACGCAACCAGCCAGTGCCTTCGTCAAAGCCTCGGGTGACCTAAGGTCGAGCGCCCAGTCCCCGGGAAAACCGCCCGGCGACGGCCCCGCACCGCGGCAGGTTCCCTGTGCACCCAAAGAAAGCATCGCGGTGGTCCAATTGATTCGGGTTCCATCACTCGAAAATGGGATCCCAATGAATCTCATGGACACTCCCTGAAAGAAGCACGGAAATCATAGAAGTGGATGGCAATGGCCTCTTGGAAAACCGTGAAATCCTCTAGAAGGGGGTCCTGGTCAGCTGCCATGAGTGTTGGAGGGAGGGAATGCAACAAAAAATGGTAAGAAATAGTAAGTGGCCAATTGTTCCAAATACCAAAACACACGTATATAGACTCCAATAAGGTCATTTCGGGCTCCCCAAGCTCCTTGGATTCCAGGACTACTTGACTTGGTCTGCCTGCTGACCTGGACAACTGAGTTATGGACAAGTCACTGGCTTTCCGGCCACAAAGCCCTAACACCGCTGATGTGGAGCTCGATGGATTTCGAACCAAAAAGACCCAGCGCATTTGGGTGCCCCATGTTCTTCGCCCACCGGTTTACAGATTTCAGGCGGAACCACCGGGATTGTTCCGCGAAGCGTCAAGTTCACATCTGATCATGGAAGTGGAAAACCACTTGTTTGTAGAGGATTTCATGGTCATTCAAGTCATCCAAGGGGCCATGCCGTGCTGTCCACTAGTCCAGGCAATTCCCAAACTCACATGATGCACTTCTTGAGTCTTGCACGTGCTGAACACCATCCTTTTGTATCCTTTTTACAGGTCTTGTTGCAAGATGTTGCAAGATGTTTTCATTGAAAGACCAACCAGGGTTCTGAAGAAAGGTGCTCCAAAAAGCCACAGGATCATAGCGCATCGTCTGGTATTCTCTACTCCTTCGGGTTGATCCCCCTTTCACCCTACCAGATCCCACCGCTGTTTCTCCACACCCGTCAGGCCCGTCAGAGATCCCCATCCGAGCTACATCTCCCTCAGAGAAGGAAGACTTGCCTGGCCGGTGTGGCCCGGGGGGTGCGATCCAGGGGTGCCGTAAGATCCAGGGGTGTGCTTGACAACTTGTCCACTTGGGGATATATCGAACTGAGTAATTGTGGTGGCTGACTGACAACTAATTGTAGCCGGGCAGTCCTTTCTTGACGATTCTTTCGTGGCTCTGAGGTGCTCTGACCATGATCTCCCACTCATCGATTGAATATTGAATTTGGTGGTGACCAGGATAGTTGGTTCCACAAAACGTCTACATGCAGCATCTAGAATCTAGCGGTGTCTTTATCCTTCTTGATTAATCTTTACCTTGTTCCCCACTTTTCCTGCAGTGCTCCATGATCGCTGGAGTGTGGCAGGACGTCTTTCGTTTTCGCCCCACCAAAAACATCCCAGTGTGTGGATGTACAATAAATAATGTAACATGTCCAAGTGTGGAATTCGTGAACACTTGTTAATGACAAAGTCCTTTGCTATTGTTTTGAACACTTGTGTAACATGTAACATGGGCCAATGACAAAGTCTTTTGCTACTGACATCCAGGACTTGGGTGTAGTTGGTTGGTTGGCACTGATGACGCAGATCTCCGGGAATACGCAGGAGCCTCATGGTATGATCAGCTGAAAGACGGCTTGTCATACATGACCAGGTCAGGTCAAGGGGCATTGTCCGCCGTGGGCATGTTTTGTCACGAAGCTCAAATAGACAGCTTCAAGCACAGCTTCAAGCGACTTGGCTTCACTATCTCCATCTCTCTGTGTTTGTGGGGGCATTTGCCATGATGTCCCCTCCCCTGCGACTGGCGACTGCAGGGATGCCTTCGTCGCAGTCCTCCAGCATCAAGGGTTCGGTGGGCTCCGAACTCTGTCGGTTCAGGCAGGGGAAGGGCCTCTTGGCGCGGCGGCGCCAGCAGGAGCCGTTGAGCAGGTACCTCGTACCCGAGCTCGGCCCGGCTCGGACGAGGCTTGGTTTCGGATCTGCTTGGGACGGCTTTAAAGACGAACAACTGGGGAGCCGAGGAATAGGTCGAATAGGTGGACATGCCTATAAGATCCTGGTAGTTCAGTTCAATTTTGAAGGGTCCAGTGTCCGGTTTCGATCTATAGCCACGTATTCCTCAAACAGGAAGTTCAAATGGACAGACTCACAAAGATACAAAACAAAGAACAGGTGCTTCTGGAAATTGGTTGATGGCCTTGGGACAGGCTCTAGACTACCATGGATACAGAAGGTGCTCTTGGCATTCAACCTGCAACAGTATGCAACAGTGTTTTCTTCCCACATCCAGATCATTCTACATGCCATCCATATGTTTTGCCACACCCCGATTCCCTTCTCCACTCTGATTTCTCTCCCAGCGGCGACTTCTCCGCAACACAACGCAGGGCAAAGGTCTCGGGGCTCATGGTGACCACGAAGTCAAACCTCCAGCACCGATCCCCGCACCACCACCGGCGACCCAGACTGCCGGCGGGATCCCGTGGTTCGGCGTGAGTGAATCAGCCGAAGCGGTATTGAAAGAGATTTGGGATACCTACCTAGCGCTTCCTGTCGGAGTGCCCTGTCTGGAGACCTGTTTACGTGTGGAGATATCCAGCCACATGACCCCGAACGGAAGCAGCTGGAGTTTTCCCGTGCCCACCCCTTTTCTTTATCACATGGTGGATATTTTTCTTCCACAGAACGCCCGCTGGTTTGAAGCTTGCCAAAAGGAATCCTTGCCAACCCTATGGACTTCAAGCGGCCAAAAGCCATGCCATCGAACATGTGACATGTCCAACACACATCACATGTTGATGGGCCAACAAACATGATGGGTAGAAAAGAATACCTGTCCATCACAAGAGGCATTATGTAACTGCAAACAGTCCTATGCAAAGGACGACCTAGGTCCACCGGGGACCGC